CAACTCAAAGCTTGAATTTTTTCTTCAGTCCTTTCAGCTTGAGAAATGCTTTGCATGCCCTGCCTTTTTGGTTTTCTAACTCCAGGTATTGGCACATTTCATTGTAATACTTCATCTTCTTGAGCTGTTCTTTGAAATTTTCTGCTCAGCTCTTTTACTTCCTCATTTCTTCCAGTTGCTTTAGCTTCTCTATGTTCAAGAGCAAGTTTCAGAGCCTCTTCTGACATCATTTTGGTGGAGTTTTTTCCTGTCTTTTGAATGACCCTTTGCTTTCTTCATGTATGATGTTCTTGATGATCTCACCTGGTCATTAGTGTCTAATACATCACATCTGTTCTTGATATGCTCCCTAAACTCAGGTGGGATGTACTCAGAGTCATATTTTGGGTCTCATGGACTGTTTTCACTTTTTTCAGTTTCAGCCTGAACTTTCATAAGAGCAATTGATGGACAGTTCCAGTCAACCCGTGGCCTTGTTTTGCCGGATGATACTGAGTTTCTCTATTGTCTCTTCCCACAGATGTAGTCAGTGTGATTCTTGTGTATTAAATCTGTGTATCACAACCCATACACATTTGTGTTGTTGAAAAAAGGTATTTGCGATGAATAGCTATTGGTCTTAACAACAATCTGCCATGCCATCTTCAGCATCATTTCTATCACCAAGGCCTTATTTTCTTCTTTCCTCTTTGTTTCCAAAATTTTACACTCCTATCATCAATAATTATCAATGCATTTTGATGCTATGCTTGATCAGTTTCAAACGGAAGACGATGGTAGAATTCTTCAATTTCTTTATCATTGAAAATCATAGGAAATAAAATACAATTTTTCTACTTTTTTGTATTTTGTGCTTTTTTTTATTATAAGAAACCTTAGCCGAGTGGCCATTCAAGATACAATAATTGATCTCTGTGGAGCTGCAGCAACAGAAGAAGGAAACAAGGAGGAGCCTATGGAATGTGTGACTAGTTGCCTCCATGAACAACTGCCTCCTTGCCATAAAATAGAACTAGATGCTGTCTGGCTGTCATCATTAAACATTTTGGTCAGAGATTCCATAGCAGAATCCTGGTCAAAAGGAGGAAAATTCGGGATATAATTTCAGATTCTCATGAACTCCTTACTTTCAGGAGCCATACAGGGTAGATGAACTACTGAAATTATTGTCCTGAGATCCTCTTTAAATGTTAAACCAAAAAGAGTCCCTGAAGTCTTAAAAACAAGCAATTGTCAACTAGTAAAAAAAAAAACAGTCTGCTTTGAACATTAATTCTTTTAAAGAACTATTTCAGATCAAATTGACATCACCAACTCAAACGATTAGAAAGGAACCCTAAGGGCAGTGGGTTTATGCTAAAGAGGGAGGAACCACTCAGAAAGAGTGAGAATGGTGGCAAAACTCATAGAACGTCATCAGAGTCACCAGATGATAAACAGAGAAACTTGAATTGGTATGTTTTCCTGTGTATATTCTCAACAACAACAACAAAATGAATAAAATTCAGAAAGATCAAAAAAAATCTTTGCCTCATCCTAGGTCACTAGGACACTTAAAGATTTCTTATGTATTTTCTTCTAGAAGTTTTATAGTGTTAATTTTTGCATTTAAGATTGTGAATCATTCTGAGTTAGTTTTTGTATGATACATTTGCTTGTGAATTTCCAAATGTTTTATTACCATTTGTTGGATTACTGCCCTTTTCCTCTGGACTTGCCTTGGCACATTTTGCAAATCAGCTGATTTTATGATCAGTCGAATTTGTTCTTTACTCTTCAATTGCATTGTTTTTTATCTGTCCTTGTGCCAATAAAGCACCTTCTAATTGTGAGCATTACAGGAAGCCTGACAGTCTGGTTGCCTAACTCTCTTGTTTTCAAAATCCGCTTGTGATTCCAGTTACAAATACGTTAGGGTACATGCTGTTTGAGATCATTGTTGCTCTCTCTGTTTATTTGTTGTCCTTCTTCACTCTGAATCATTTCTATTGCTGTTTACAATTTCACTAATATCCCTTCTGGTGTATCTAAGGCCTTATTAATCTCAACCAATGTATTATAGATGCATTTTTCATTTGTTAAAGTGTAATACAAACCAAAACAAAGAAATGCAAATCTGGAACTCTGATTTCCACTTTTGATACTTATTGTCAATTACAAAAAAAAAAAAAAAAAAAAATTAGGAGTTTTATTAAGCAACTTGTTTTTCTTTTTCAGCTGCCATAGACTGCTCAGTTCCATTAAGCATGTGTACCAGCATCAAATGTAAGTA